GCTACACACAAGCCCAGCCTTAAACTCTGTGGCCTGAGGCTTTCCACCCTCCCAATTACAGACCTTGCAGTCCATTTCCATTTCTGGGCGTATTCAAATGTGTTAACCAGCCATTGTGAAAAGGCTGCTTAAAGGAAACCATTTCTCAAGCGTTCAGCTCACAGGGAAGGACAGAGAATGGAGGACGAAAATATTTATATAAATGCGAATATTGGAAAACCACCTCTCCAGCCTCCAGGTAAGGACAACACATGCTGAATCCATTATGCCAACTTGCCTTGTTTTCTTGGCTCCCCATTCTTGGCACTGTCTGGCCTGGGAGAACAGACCCACAGCTCAGTCCAGCTCTTGGAAAACTTAAGCCCTGGACGCAGCAGCAGCACGTGCAGTGGACAGGAGGGGTTTGGTCTGGTCTTGATCTTTCCTTCCTCCCAGGAGGAGTGTGGAAGCTGCGCTCCCATCTCGCACTGAAACCCGAACCCCATCAGCTTCTCCAAACAAACAAAGCGTGCGAGGGAACTTTTCAAGAGATGAGTCAGTTTAGGGGGAGACTTGGGGTCAGTTCTCAGTTCATCGGAAGTGATTCTGTCCAATATCTTCATCAATGATTTAGATAATGGCATAGAGAGGACACTTATAAAGTTTGCTGACGATACCAAGCTGGGAGGGGTTGCAAGTGCTTTGGAGGATAGGATTAAAATTCAAAATGATCTTGACGAACTGGAGAAATGGTCTGAAGTAAATAGGATGAAATTCAATAAGGATGAATGCAAAGTACTCCAAATGTAAAATGACTGCCTAGGAAGGAGTACTGCAGAAAGGGATCTGAGGGTCATAGTGGATCACAAGCTAAATCCGAGTCAACAGTGTAACGCTGTTGCAAAAAAAGTAAACATCATTCTGGGATGTATTAGCAGAAGTGTTGTAAGCAAGACACAAGAAGTAATTCTTCCGCTCTACTCCAGTCAGATACGGCCTCAACTGGAGTATTGTGTCCAGTTCTGGGCACCATATTTCAGGACGGATGTGGACAAATTGGAGAAAGTCCAGAGAAGAGCAATGAAGGTGATGAAAAGTCTAGAAAACATGACCTCTGAGGGAAGATTGAAAAAACTGGGTTTGTTTAGTCTGGAGAAGAGAAGACTGAGAGGGGACATGATAATAGTTTTCAAGTACATAACAGGTTGTTACAAGGAGGAGGGAGAAAAATTGTTCTTCTTAACCTCTGAGGATAGGACAAGAAACAATGGGGTTAAATTGCAGCCAGGGAGGTTTAGGTTGGACATTAGAAAAAACTTCCCAATTGTCAGGGTGGTTAAGCACTGGAATAAATTGCCTAGGGAGGTGGTGGAATCTCCATCATTGGAGATTTTTAAGAGCAGGTTGGACAAACCCCTGTCAGGGGTGGTCTAGATAATACTTAGTCCTGCCACGAGTGCAGGGGACTGGACTAGGTGACCTCTCGAGGTCCCTTCCAGTCCTATGATTCTGCCCTCCCAGATTTACAGGAATTGCCTTACCAGGGCAGGTCCATGGTCCTTCCAGCCCAGTGAGCTGCCTCTGATGGTGGCCAGTTCCAGATGCTTCAGAGAAAAGTGAAAGAAACCCCATATTGGGGCCGTTATGGGAAAAAGTTGCCCTGATGGGACATTTCTGCCTAAACCCAGACAGGTAATGGTTGGGCGATGCCCCTGAAGGGTTTTTAATCCCTTATATTTAACTGCTGATATCCATCTAACTGCAAACCTTCAAATTGTACGGAGCTCCTGGCCTCAATAATAGCTACGTAAGTGCAATGTGGTTTTGACTTTCTATCGACTGGGATGTCTCCTCACTAGTGACGATGAGACCTGGCACTGCAGAGCTTAGATGGGCTTCAGCTCCCATGGAAATATTCCTCTTTTCCCCCACAAGCCAAACCTCCTGAGACGCCAGCTGCGCCATCTCGCAAGACCTCAGACATCCTCTGTGCCCTGCTCGTTGTTCTGAGCGTGGCTTTGGGCACCTGCCTCATTGCAGTGACCGTCATGTGTAAGTTCCACCCAAGCGCAATGTTTAATTCCAGGTTCTTGTTTCAAAACACAAGCAAAAGGGATGTAACGTTTCTATTAATGGAAGGGGCGGGCGGGTGGGGATCCAGGCTCTCCGCAGCATCCATTCAGTAGGTGGTTCTCCGCCAGGTCAGACAACAACATCCACCTTGCTGAGCCGGGGATATTTGAAGGTTCTTGGAGTGTTTCTATAGATACTTAGGGGCAGATTATGTCTGGCCCTAACATGGGTTTGCAGCCGGCCCGGGGAGGGGAAATCATGCAAGGGCCAGTGTTCGGGGAGCACACGGCTGCTCTCTTGAAGTGTGTCTGCGGCTGCAGTTACCCCACAGGGGATGGAGAGGGATAGCGAAATCGTGAGCCACCGGCTCTGCCACACCTCTCTGGACGGCCCATGGACCTGGCTGGGCATGCCAAGGAAGTGAGCTGTACCCCCAAAGGAACAGTGTCATGTGCACTCGCAGGGTGGGGGTGCCAGGGAATATTCCGGGGTTCCCCCTTCCCAATGCGGACATGAGACTAAATGTCAGTGAGGCTCATGGGGAGGAATTTTCCTGATTCTGGTGTTCGTGTTGCACAGACAGTAAAAATGTCTAATAGATTAGAGAGCAAATCATTCCCCGCACGCCGAGAGTCTGTTCCCTTTCTCTGCTAATGAAACGCTCTGATCCCATGAACATGCGATTCCTAGATTTCCAGGGACAGAAAATGCTACGAGACGTAGAAGAAGCGGTTCACAAAATCAGAGCCTCTCTGCAGCCCAACACCACCTTGGACACCTCAAAGGAGCTGGACAGTAAGTGGGGGAGCTAGGTGTGCGCTTTCTGCCTTCTCTAGCACGGGGACTTCTCCGGTCCCCATCACCGCAGTCTCTGAGCCCCTGGCACTCTCTGATGTATTTATTCTCATAACACCCCCGGGAGACGGAGCCCATTGTACAGATGGGAACTGAGGCACAGAGAGGCTAAGGGTGTGTCTACACTGCAGCTGGGGCCGGGCCTAACAGCCCAGGTAGTCAGATGTGGGAGCTCTGCTGGAGCTACTGCACTAAGACTAGCAGCACGGACAGTGCAGGATCGGCGCCGAGGGACTGGTTGGATAGAAATGAGCAAAACCAGCTTAGTGCGAGTCCGTCAGCTCTCAGCAGGACTTGGAGCATGGCCAGTTTGTATTTGAATCACACTCTTCATACGGGAACTTTAAACTCACGCAGGTTATTGGCCCTGCTTTTGTTTCGTCAGACATCACGGGTGATACTGGAAATGAGCTAAAGGCAAACCCAGTTCTGTTGGTGTGAATAGTGATGATCTGTGTTTAGTACAGCAGCCGCCAAGGTGTGCCGAGTGCTGCACAGACCCGTAGGCAGACCCAGTCCCCGCGGGAAGAGATCACAATCTGGGACTTGAACTTTCACTTTCTGGGGCTCTGGGCGTATCTCACACAACCAGAATCGTACTGATGGGATCAGAGCGCCCTCCAGCCGTCCAGCTGGCACTGGGCCGAGTAAACATTATTAACCCTCTGGCACGTGACTGAGCATAAAATGGGGTTACCATACGTCCAGATTTCCCCGGACATGGAGTGTCCTCTTTTTTTAAATGTTTGAATATGGTAACCCTAGCATAAAAGCCGATCTATGGATGAGATTTGTATGTGGCACACGAACAGGAGATGGGCCTGAACCAACACCCTGGTACTGACCAGGCCTGAACGCTGGCGGGTTCCAAATCCCGGCCTGGATCCCAGTGCCCTGGCTCAGGCCCAGGGACATTCCTGTAGCCCCAGTTTGTCCGCAGGCTGCAGGTGACCCACTCGGAGTTCCAGAGGCAGGAGGGAGTGAGGAAGAGGCGGCACTGCTCATCTCCTTGTGCCCTGGGTTGGCTGGGGGTGTGGTTTAAGGCTAAGGATGGCTGTGTGGATAGGGTGCTGGGTTGGGATTCGGGTAACTTGGTTTCAAGTTCTGGGCACGTCTCCCTGCACCTCAGTTCCCCATCGGGAAAATCATCCTTTATTTCTCCCACCTAGAGTCGATTTTGACTGTGAGCTATTGAGAGCAGGGACTGTCCCC